AAGAGCTGTATATATTGTCTCCAAGTCCTCTCCTCCTGCTTCCTCCTGAACTCAGTCCAATCCGGTTGTCACTTCCACCACTCCACCAAAACTCCTCTCTAATCAAAATCTCCAGTGATCTCCTTATTACCTTGTGCAATGGTGAATCCAAGTCCTCAGCTCACTTGACATCCTAGTCACTCCTTGAAACACTTTCTTCACTCAACTTCAAGGACAAACTCTCAGGATTTCCTCTTTTTTTCTCTGGCTCTCTTCTGAGTCTCTTTTGTGGATTTCTCCTAATTGTTCCTACTTATAAGTTAAAGTACCTCAGGGCTCAGTTCTTGGACCCACACTTTTCTAAACAGATCACTCCTTTGGCAATGTCATCTAGTCTCCCACCATCTACATGCTTAAGACCTCTAAATTTCATCTCCAGCCCCTATCTCTCCCCTGAATTCCAGCCCTATATATCTACCTCCTACTGTACATATTAATATAGGGACATCCATTAGGCATTCTCACACTTAAACATGTCCAAAACCAAGTTCCAAATATTCCCTTCCAAACTTGCTTCTCTCACAGTTTTCCATGTCTTAATGAAAAACCCACAACTCCATTCCTCCAGTTACTCACCTTAAAAACTCTGGGAGTACTCTTGAGTCTTTGCTTCTCTTGTCTGACACTGATACACACACACACACACACGTTAAACTTTCAAAATATATATAGAAACGAACACTGAACTCTCCCAATCATTCACTCCATGCCACCCCTCCCATTCACTTGACTCTAGCCATACCAGTCTCCTCCTTGCTCTTCTTCAAACATATGGAGGCCCTGAGGCAGAAACAAGTCTAGACCATGCTGTTCCCCTCTGCTCAGAATGTCCTTCGTCCAGATAGCTGCATGGCATACACTGTTTCTTCAAGTTTCTACTCAAATCTCATCCACTCAACCGCTAGCTCTCTGTATCAAGCAACCATCATCTGAGCACCTGAATTATAGCAATAGCCTCACATGATCTTTATATTTCCTCCCTTGCCCCCCATAGCTATTCCCCAGACAGGAGCCAGAGTGATTTTTAAAAGTCAGATTATATCACTCTCCTGCTGAAAACCCTCCAGAGGCTTCCCCTCACACTCAGAGGAGAAGCTCAAGTCTTTATAATGAATTACAAGGCTCTATGTGATCTGTACCTATTCCTCCACTGTTTCTCTGACCTCATTAGTTTCTATATTCTACTCCCTAACCACATTTACCTTCCTGCTATACTTCAAACATGCAGAGACCCTGGGGTGAAAACAAGTCTAACATACGCTGTTCCTTTCTACCTGGAATGTCCTTCACCTAGATATCAGCACAGCTCAACCTTCCCCCTTCAAGTTTCTACTCGAATATCATCTTTTCAGTAAAAGCCTTCTCAGATCACCCAAGTTAAAACTACAACATCACATAAACTTCCTAACCATCTTGGCTGCTTTATTTTTCTATTTAGCACTTATCACTAACATACTACCTATGTTACTTACCTTGTTTACTGTCTGTTCTTCCCTACAAGAATATAAGCTTCTTGAGGGTATTTTGTCTGTTTTGTTCACTAATAAATCGCCAGAGCCTAGGGGAGAGCCTAGTACATAAGAGGCACTAAGTAAATATTTATTGAATGAATGTATGAATGTTTAAAATAATGAACATGATTTTCAAAAAGATTCCTGGTGATTCTAGCATACAGCCAAACTTAGGAACCACTGCTCTAAAGACTGGGATTCCTGGGCCTTCTTATCTGCCTCTTTTTCCCCCCAGGTGACATTATCTATTCCCGTGGATATTTATACTGATAATACCCAAATTTATATCTCCTAACCAGACTGCTCCAGATTATTCAACTAGTCACTGGACTTTCCATTTGTAGGTGTCACCTTAAGGAATATATAAGTAACACCTAATTCAATTTCACCATACCCCATTCTCCTCATCTCCGTAAGTGGAACCACCAATTGGCCAATTTCTCAAGGCAAGAAACATAGTCCCATCCTAAATTCTCTTTCCTCTTCATATCCTACATTCCATACATCAGAAAGTCTTACCAATTCTATCACCAAAATATAAGCTGAATGCATTTATTTCTCTACATCTCCATTACTACCATCTGTTGCTTATAGTTGTTCCCACTTATTGGTCTCCTTGTTCCTACTTTACCTTGACTCAATACATTTTCCATACAGGAGAAATACTGATTTTAAAATATAAATAAAATGGTCTTACTTAAAATGCTCCAATAGTTTCTCTTCACAAAATCCAACTTCTTGGCACTAACAGCAAGATCTACAGCTTACCTGTGTATTTTCTAATAAAGCAAATTTATACCAAAGAAAACAAACAAAAAAACTTTTGGTAATCTTTCCAAAAAAACACTTTTGAGAAAAACTACTATAGAAAAAGAATGCTTTAAAACCAACTTACTATATACTTCTACTGGTAGACAGCATGGTATAGTTAAAAGGCTACTGAATTAGGAATTAGACCCGATTATGAATGAGTCTGGGCTATGAAACTACAAAGATGACTAAAGACAATTTACTAACCTTTTCTGGGCTTCAATTTTGTTATCTGCTAAAAATGAAAAAAAAAAATTGGACTAAAGTATGGCTCAATTCAAATTATATTATGGGGATTTAAAACATCTACATTTTTCCTCCAAATTCCTGGCAAAGGGAGAATAGGACACAAGACAGATTGAGAATATCAGAGCCATTATCACTGCTGCCTGATAAAAAAAGGAAGATGATATGGCATGTGGAAAGAAAAGGCTTGGGGGATGCCTGGCTGGCTCAGTCAGGGGGAGCATGCAATTTTTGATCTCTGGGTCATGAGTTCGAGCCCCATGCTGGGTGTAGAGATTACTTAAATGAATAAATAAATTAAAACTTAAAAAAAGAAAAGGCTTAAAATACTGAATTACTTAATCTGTAAGATCCCTTCCAGTTCAAATATTTTATGTCCAAGCAGGAAAAAACAGTCCATTACCATTTTCCCTACTGAAAGAAAACAGCAGGAGACTTCAACTGGAAACTTCACTTAACCACATGCCTCAAGATTCCCAACCTTTTGCCTTAACCCGAGGAAAGCACAGTTTATTCTGGTATAATTTATTTTTCAGAAAAAAAAAAAAAAAAGTTCTTTTACAATCAAAAGTACTGGGGCACCTGGCAGGCTCAGTCAGAGGACCATCCAACTCTTGATCTTAAGATTATGAGTTCAAGCCCTACACTGGGTATAGAGATTACTTACATGAATAAATAAAAACTTTATAATCAAAAGTACTATCACCAAAAAGATCGCATCAGGAGGGAAAAAAAACAAGACAACATCGGAGAGGAAGACAAACCATCAGAGACTCTTATTAATCACAGGAAACAAACTGAGGGTTGCTGGAGGGGAGGGGGGCCGAGGGATGGGGTAACAGGCTGATGGGCATTAAGGAGGGCAAGTGATATAATGAGCACTGGGTGTTATATAAGACTGAAGAACCACTGAACTCTACCTCTGAAACTAATATACTGTATGTTAATTAACTGAATTGAAATAAAAAAAAACCTCATCATTTGTCTTTATGTCTACAAATGCTACCAAATTGGGGCACCTGGGTGGCTCAGTGGGTTAAGCAGCTGACTCTCTGATTTTGGCTCAGGTCATGATCTCAGGTCCTGGGATCAAGCTCCACAATGGCCCTGAGCTCAGCAGGGAGTCTGCTTCAGGATTCTCTCTCTCTCTCCCCTGCCCCTCCCATCACTTGCTCACGCTCTCTCTAAAATAATCTTTTAAAAGGGGGAGGGGCGCCTGGGTGGCTCAGTCAGTTAAGTGTCTGCCTTCAGCTCAGGTCCTGATCCCAGGGTCCTGGGATGGAGCCCCTCACTGGGCTCCCTGCTCAGTGGGAAGTCTGCTTCTCCCTATCCCTCTGCCTCCTCTCCGCCCCCCACTTGTGCTCTTTCTCTCAAATAAAATCTTTTAAAAAAGAAAAAAAAAAAGCTAGCAAACTGGTTATGTTGCACTTTCCAACTATAATTTAGAGATTTTCTTCTTCCATGGGAAGGTGGTATTGACCATGGTGGTAAAAACATCCCCCATCTTTAGTTATGAAGCTATAAATAAATCCAAAAGCAATTATCAGAATTTTAAAAATAAGTTCCACTACAATCAAAGCTATCCTAAAATTACATAGTGGCTAGCTAACAAGATAGCTAAGAGTATTAAAACTGGCTACTGCCCTTAACCATGTGATCTTGGACAAGTCATTTATGCTTTCAATGGTTCAGTTTTCTTTTGTAAAATGGAGATTATCAACAAAAACTTAGAGACATGTACAGCAGTAAATATGCATTCTCTCAATAACTTATACCAACCTGGCCTTTATCATAAGAGCTAGATAACCCAGTACTCACTCTTTGGAAATAAATCTAATTCTTTTAATGTAAAATTCTGTCAAGCATCTCTTTTTTATGAAATAGTTATTCAATTCTCAAAAACACTGACAAAAATTTATTATCTGAAGTCATTTATTAAAAAAATGAAATGTATGCATATTTAGAGATGGTCTGGAGGGATATAAACCAATGTCTATTAACTATAGTTATCTCTGGATGAAAGAAACAAAACTAAACTTTATTTTCTTCTTTTTGCTGATCTATAGTTCCTAATTTTTCTATTAATAAACACAAACTTTTTGTAATAAGGGAGACAATAATTTTTTTTAATGAAATTAATTCCATAAGCAAATAAACCTTTTTTAAATTCACATTCTGGAACTGGAAATGAAATATATCAGTACTTATACTGACTGACCTCATATTCCTATTGGAAAAGGAACAACCAAGAACATCTAACACACATTCTAATGTACTCTCCAATTCTCATTTCTCTTTTGAGCCCTATCTCTGCATATATCTTCACTTCTTCAATCTTATCAAGACTTCATTGTAGACCCCTCTAACGCATTTCCAAAATTAGGAAAAAATTACCGATAAGACTTCTATAATCTCTTAACCTCGAATTTCTCTTCTCTTGTTCTTCGCTGACAGATTTCCACTGTAGTTTCATCCTGAAGTATTCGTCACTACAGAAAACAATTTTATACCAAAAAAAGCTATGAACACGGTATTTTTAAAAATTCTGATTGGGTTTTCCTATTAACAATATATCAAAGCATTTATGATGCTAGTGAAATGTGAGGTTATAAATATGATAGTGAAATGTTTAAAGTTACAATTCGTAAGTGAAAATAAAGGAAAAATTAAATAACCTTACACATACCATAAACTTTGCTTAAACGAATAATTTAGGTATGATTTTAAGAAAACATTCACCTCAATCCTTAATATACCTAAAATTATTCTAGTTATTAAATATTTTAACCACTAAAGTTTCTGAATAATTATAAATGCAAATCTACAAATTGCTGTTTATTTTTTTTAATGTGACATAAGACTTCCATTGTCTAGCCAGTTTATTCACAAACTTGTTAATGTGAAATGTCTTAGAAGAACTGGCAAATTGGGGTACCTGGGTGGCTCAGTCAGTTAAGCTTCTGCCTTAGGCTCAGGTCATGTTCCTAGGGTCCTGGGATCGAGCCCTGCATCAGGCTCCCTGCTCAGAGGGGAGTCTGCTTCTCCCTCTGCCTCTCCCCTCTGGCTTGTGCTCTCTCTCTCGCTCACTCTCTTTCTCTCAAATAAATAAATAAAATAAAAAAGAACTGGCAAATGTGTTGAAAGAGAAAGGACTGTCTGAAAGTTTAAATATGTACATAATGATTCAGAGTGAGCTTTAAATCATAGGCTAGACTGATGAACTGGGAATAAGAAGGGTACCTGGAAAATCGGTCTAAGTTTTCTTTTCAAGTCTGAGAAATTACTTAAAAATAGAACCAGTCTTCCAAAAAAAATGAAAGACTAGTTTATGTTACAAGAGCACCAGGAAAATAATTTAAAGGTAATTAACTTAAATAGTAAATATACTTCTTATGGGACATTTTTATAATTTCATAATAAATTACAAAAATGAATAAATATGAATGATATATTTAAAAATCCCTATCTAGTTAGTTATTTTTCAAGTATGCAAAATGTTTTTACAAGGGAACTGGAATTTTTTTTCCCCATCTTTCTATATATTCACCAACACAACTGCAGTGAGTGTTTGAAATGACTAGTTTGAGTAAGTACAGAGCTCATGATTTTTCAATTAAAAAGATGAAAATAAAATTATTTTCCCATACCCTCATCTATTTAAAATAATCATCTAGATGCTCTATACTAATCTGTATGGGTGAGTTATCTGAATTTCTTTAATGAATACACAAAAGATCTTACTTACGTTTTTTGTTTTTGTAATTGAGTTCTTTCCTCCTTGGTACTGTCCCAAGGAAAATAACCCAAAAGAAATTTCCATGCTTGCTTTCTCAACACATGACTAAGTCCCTAAAGAAAATATGCATATTAAACACATTCGTAAAAAAGAATGCAATACTTTAAGTTCATAAAACTTGCATATAAATATACAGGGAAACTAATATTTAAGAGATAGTTTTATACATAAAATAGCTCAATTCAGTGAATACTAACTTGTTTTTTACCTCTAGACTCTGAAAATGCCAGAAAGCTTAAACAATGCAGAGTATACAGATTATATAGAAGGCAGCAGGACTGATTAGTTTGTCTAAGTCCAATCCTTATTAGATAAGGCAACTACCACTGGGGTACATACATGCCTCCTTCACATTACCCACAAAACTTTAGGTAAGGAAGACTCTTCTTCCCTAGGCTTAATGGTATTCAGTCCCCACCTCCCCAACCAACCTTAAGGGATATCACAAGGACCTCACACTGTCCTACAGGATTTTAAGGCATCATTCATCAAAAAGGAGTTCATTCCATGACTACCTCCACACCTCCCACACACACACAAAAAAATTTAAATATCAGCAGTTTCAAATATCCTCCATATTAAGGTATTTACCCCTCTAAATATCATCTGCTTCATATTATCTACATTTAAAATTCTTCCTTCAGAATCAATGTTCTTAGTCCATTCTTCCAGTGATACTGGCTCTCTCCTTTGAACAATAGGTCGTTCTCCCAAATCAATCTAAAAGAAGAAGATAAGCAATAAGGAGTACACTTTTAACCAGTGAAATTAAATCAAGGTACATGGAAACCATTAAAATACTATTTATTACTCAGGCATGAGTTCTAACATTTCTAATATCTTCCCTTATTTTCCAATGTTTAGTTTATGAACTTTAATAGCATTCCATACATTTTCCTTCCTACTAAACATACAAATAACAGGGTTATAAATTCAGAGACAGGATTACATTTGCTATTTGGAGTTTCAATTATGTAAGTACAAAACATTCGACATGTAAATTCCATAAGAGACCCTTCAAATTAAATGGTATGCTGTATTATTTAAAAAGTATTAATCTACTAATCATATTCTAAAATTAGCTTTTCTTCCAAACTACAATTTGTAGCTCTCAGAATTGATTCATGATCCACTAGCTCCACTTGGTATTTTCTACAGTTTTTTATTCAATTAACAGGTGTTGGTAATTTAAAATGCCATTTGTAAGATAAACCCTTTAAATATTACAATTCAGATATTTATAATGTTTTAACTATGTACAGCCTAGAATTGTAGCAAATTCAAAAGTCTTGCTGAGCATATATAAAGATTTGCCATAATTCAGGGCCAAGATCCATCTTACTTAAAAAAAAAAAGACTCACATGAGCATAAAAGCCCTGGAGTAGTGTCCTGACTAGCTGCCTCTGGTCCCTACTGAGAAAACATATAAATTAGGAACAGAACTAAGAACAATATGTAAGGCTCACTATTCACTAACTGCTATGCACTCAATGAAACAAACAACCTGCTCATTATTATCAAAAAGTAATCAAAGAAAAGAGATCCAACTTATTAAACAGAAAGTATAAGTAGTAATCGACAAAGAACAACCCAAGAATTTGGTGGCAAAACAAGTATTAGTTGTTAGATACATTAGTTAGTAAAAAAGTTATAAGGATTATAAGAGGCAGATATAACCAAAATTGAGTTTCTATTTCTACAGCATTCAGTACATGTTTAAAAAGCATTTCTCCTGTTAAAATATAAAAGATATATTAATATAAATCTTCACTCACTCTTGTGATGACTTCAAATCCTGGTTCTTCTTGTTGATTTATCTTTAAACCTGGAATAGCATCACTAAGAAAATCTGCCATTTCTGAAGGCGGTCGTTGATGTGTAGAGGGATCACTGCCTCTCAAACTATCAAAAATGTAGTTTGTGACTTTGGAAAATCCTACCATAGTTGCTGTATAAGGATCCTTTTTAATTTTCTATGTAGTAAGAAGAAAAATATTAGCATTATTAATTCAAATGAAGAATAAAAATACCTTATGATGGGCAAAAGGGCCACGTTTTTTAAAGAGGGGAAATCAGAACTAAAACAGAGTGTTCTAAGATTATTTTAAAATTTTATTTTTTTTCTGGGAAGAAGAATTTATATTTTCTAAGCCATTCTTTTCATTTGGTTAAAACAGAATATTACACGGCAAGGTAATGCTACTGATTGAATTGCAGATAAACAAATGATTTGCAGGCTTTATTCAATCTGCATACATCACAAATATATGCAGTGCTTACTTTCCACTGATGAATGGCCCACAACAGCTTTCTTCTGTCTAGCAGTCCTGCCTTTATAAAAAAAATATTTCTTCAAGTGTTCAGAACCACACTAGTCTAACAGAAAATATTCGATAGCTAAGCTTTAAAGCTCACCATATTTAAATATCAGCTGACATTTTAATCTAATTATATAATTAATAAATCATGCCAATGAGTGTAATTTGTTCTGGATGGTGCTACCCTGGAAAACAACAAAAGGTTTTCTATTGCTAGGGTTACTTCCAAATCCCAAACTGCCTACTTATTCATATTTAGCAAAAACAGTTACTTTTTTTAAAGGTCTTTTAATGATTATTTTCACAATAAAAACTGCTGCCTAATTTTCTACTTTAATCAGTATCTAGCTATCTTGTCCTCCTTCCTCAAAAGTTCCCCTTTTATCTTGTTATCTTCAGAACCAAGAAGAGGATACTTGGGACAGAGTAAGCACCCAAACATTTGTTGAGTGAATAAGTGAATCAATAAACAACCATTTCATTACTTTATGTAAAAATTTGAGTGAAAAATAAGTTAACTTAATTTCTGCCTGTGTTAAGTGCATATTTTTAGCCAAATTGTAAGAATATACTCAAATATTTTAGGGGGAATTAGATTATCATGCCCCAAATGAACCTACTTAAAATGGAAAATAAAAATTCAAACCATATTTTTTACTAAGTTTATCATTAATGAATTCAAAGTGGCTTACCCAGTGACCTTGCAACTAATCAGTAAAAGCTATGATAATAAAAATCTACTAATGTCCAATTTCAGTATTACAATAAAGGGAAACATTGCTTTAAGAGGAACTAAGAACCAAGGAAGCTTCTGAGTCTTACAAATAATATGAAATATATTATTTCTAAAAAATTACAGAAATTACAGTTCCATAAACTTTACACACAGAGACACTTGCCTTGTTCTGTATAATCTCTGAGAAAGTGAGAGAGAGGTAGGAGGTGTATGAAATAATGGTGTCAGATTAACAGATAAATACAAAATAGATTAAGAAACATACTTGTATTAAACCATATGCAGGTTCATCAAGAAGATTTTCAAAAGACTGTGAAAGACTCTTATTCTGACAATTCACAAGAAGTGTTCTTTTATCCTGTGGAGATCTGTAATAAAAGAAGGGATCAGTAGAAAATAACTAGCACACTACATCAATTACTACCTGAATGATTACTAATGCCTAGTTACTTTTCCTTAACAACAGTAACAACAACGAAAATCCCAAAACTCAAATGTCCAGTTCTAGAACTGCTTCCCATTAATACAATATTAGCAAGTACTTAGTAACTATCTTAAAGGAGCTCCAAAACTACATGAAACATGAAATACTAAATTGACAAATATAAAAGGGTTGAAGTGTATTTTTATTCTAGGTAAAGCCAAGAGGACTAAATTGTAATTAACCAAGTTTTTGTTTATAATTATAGTAGAAAAACCTTACAAATGTATGTCTTTATTATCATAAAAATTAAAGAAAGTTAAAGCACACTTTGGATTCATCAGTATATATAATATGTACAATACAGGAAAACACCTATTTTTGCTTTTTTTTTTTTTTGTAGTTTTTAATTCTATTATATTATGTTAGTCACCATACAATACATCGTTAGTTTTTGATGTAGTAATCCACGATCCATTGTTTTTGTATAACACCCAGTGCTCCATGCAGTACGTGCCTTCCTTAATACCCATCACTGGGCTAACCAATCCCCCCTCCCCCCTCCCCTCTAGAACCCTGTTTGTTTCTTAGGTCCATAGTCTCTCATGGTTCATCTCTCCCTCCAATCCCCCCCCCCATTTTTCCCTTCCTTCTCCTAATGTCCTCCATGTTATTCCTTATGTTCCACAAATAAGTGAAACCATATGATAATTGACTTTCTCTGCTTGACTTATTTCACTTAGCATAATCTCCTCCAGTCCCATCCATGTTGATGTAAAAGTTGGGTATTCATCTTTTCTGATGGCTGAGTAATATTCCATTGTATATATGGACCACATCTTCTTTATCCATTCATCTGTTGAAGGGCATCTCGGCTCTTTCCACAGTTTGGCTATTATGGACATTGCTGCTATGAACATTGGGGTGCATATGGCCCTTCTTTTCACTACATCTGTGTCTTTGGGGTAAATACCCAGTAGTGCAATTGCTGGGTCATAGGGTAGCTCTATTTTTAAATTTCTGAGGAAACTCCACACTGGGAAAACACCTATTTTGAAAGAGTTTCCAACTTCATTCCACAGCTTGGTAGTATTGCAATATAAGGAATTAAAAACACAAGATAAAATAGATTATTTGTTAAAGATCATAATTATGCTAACCATAATTATAAACACACATACATGAACATATTTAACAAGGTTATATCATTAAGGTAACAGTATGTTTTTAGTTCTTGCTTATTAAGCTCTAGAAGCAAGTTTTTCTTCACATTTCTTAATAACTGCAGAATAAATGTTTTCCAAATAGACATTTAATTTCAAGTAATCAGATGAATTATCCAGTCTTTTTTCTATTCAGTAAGTTTTATAACTTAGTAAGTTCGCTATAATAAATCCACAACTTTTCTGTGTTTAAAATAAAACTTAAATGTGTTATGTTGTGGCTATCTACTTCTAGTTTATTATAAATGTTTGAGATAAGAACTTTAATAACAGTTATCTCTTCTCAGTTCTAACATAACGGGATGCAACAGCAATGCTGGAGGGGATATGAACTCCAAAGCAGATCTTATTTTTACACATTCAGAAACAACGCTTGATCTTCAGAGACAACAGTAACTTAATAAGCCCCTTGGCTTTTTAAAAGGAGATGAGGTTGAGTCATTTGAGGTAAGAAAAACATAATGACTTTTAAAACGTTCAATTTTCATTAAATGTCATTTTTCTGAACACTTACTGGGGTTATGCTTAATATGAAGACTTATATGGTCCCACAAGGCATTTTTAATAAGTCTTTTAAATATAGCACCAGAAAAAGTAACTAATAGCAATATACACTTTCCTAGCACAGTACAGCTGGCACTGTGGTTATTATTTTATTTCTAACAAATTAAGTCAAATTATTTATTTAAAATCCAAATAAAGGGGCGCCTGGGTGGCTCAGTCATTAAGCATCTGCCAGGTCATGGTCCCAGGGTCCTGGGATTGAGCCCCTGCTCAGCGGAAGGCGTGCTTCTCCCTCTCCCACTCCTCCCGCCCCGCCTTGTGTTCCCTCTCTTGTTGTATCTCTCTCTGTCAAATAAACAAACAAAATCTTAATAAATAAATAAATAAATAAATAAAATCCAAATAAAAATTGGTCATCAAAGTCAAAACACTGGTTATGCATGTGATAAATCAAAGAACACAAATTTTATAAATTTGTAACCTTTAGCTATGTGGGCTCAGATAATTATTATGGCTCCAGATTTAAAACTGTAGTCAATAAACTAGTAATGGGAAGAAGAAACGACTGCCCAACCAATAAGCAACCACGGATATTCTTTTAAGAAGAAAGGATTTAGGGGCTCCTGGGTGGCTCAGTCGATTAAGTGTCCGACTTCAGCTCAGGTCATGATCTCAGGGTCCTGGGATCAAGCCCCATGTTGGGCTCCACGCTCAGTGGGAGTCTGCTTGTCCTTCTCCCCCTTTCCTTCTGTCCCTCCCCCTGCTCATGCTCTCTGTCTCTCAAATAAATGAAAAATATCTTTTCAAAAATAAAAAATAGAAAGGATTTCACTTTTTATATCCAATGCTCTGTGATGAGGGGCTGGGGAAAGCTCTAGGAGAAAGAGAGATATAAGGGCGCCTGGGTGGCTCAGTTGGTTGGGCGACTGCCTTCGGCTCAGGTCATGATCCTGGAGTCCCGGGATCGAGTCCCGCATCGGGCTCCCTGCTCGGCAGGGAGTCTGCTTCTCCCTCTGACCCTCCCCCCTCTCATGTACTCGCTCTCTCTCATTCTCTCTCTCTCAAATAAATAAATAAAATCTTTAAAAAAAAAAAAAAGAAAGAAAGAGAGATATAAGAAATTTAAGACTTGGGGCGCCTGGGTGGCTCAGTTGTTAAGCATCTGCCTTCGGCTCAGGTCATGATCCAAGGGTCCAGGGATCGAGCCCCACATCGGGCTCCCTGCTCTGCCGGAAGCCTGCTTCTCCCTCTCCCACTCCTCCTCCTTGTGTTCCCTCTCTCGCTGTGTCTCTGTCAAATAAATAAAGTCCTTAAAAAAAGAAATTTAAGACTTAGTTGCCCTTAGCTAAGGAAATCAACAAAAACATTTTTAAAAGGTATATGAGTCAAAGGACAAGTTGTGTATTTCTAGGTAATTGCAGAGCTCATCAAAAGGAGGGTTGGAATTCCAGAATGTTGTTACATTTCCACCTGCCAGGTTATCACAATGACTTAATTTGGAAAGACAAAATATTATGGATTTATATGTATATATTCTGGAAATATAATGGATTTTGGAAGTTGATCTCTTATGACAACATTATTCAAGACTTTCAAAGCAGCAAGACAGAACTTCTAATGATGTTTACATCAGCAATTCTATTAGAGCCTACTAAAGGGCTTAAAGAAAACCATTGTCTAATATCACAACTATACAAGTGTATCTACTGAATATTCAGAAGTATTTCCCAGGCTTTTGAGTGAGCCTCTCCCAAAGACCTCAGAATAAATTCAGAAATGATAACAGTTGAAGAATGTTCTGTGTGCTGAGATGTTGTGGTAACTATTTTCCATTGCTACTGAGAAGGACCAATATGGAAAGCTAAAGAAATAAAAATATCACTGCAAAGGCTGTATCAATCAAAAAAGGTTGATAAAATAAAAAAGTACAGAATATTCACAATAAAACTATATATATAATATATTCTTATTTTAATCATATAACTCAAAGGGAATAAATGAGGTTTTGTAACCTAATCTTATAAATGGTGTTATATGATAATATGAAATATCTTACTGCTTATTTATATATTAATGTAAAAATGGCCCAATATACAAAATAATTTTAATGGAACCTTTATATCACAACCTTCATTCATATCCTAGCAACCAACCTGGTTCCAGAAAGGTGACATAAATGTATTTGTGATTCATTCTTTACCCAAGTATCATGTTTTAAATGGTGATAAATCAAAGAACACTAACAAACATGAACGAAAAGGACAATTTGTTTTTCCCAGAAGATAAGAAAACCATTTGAGAAATAACAAGTCTCAAGAAGCTAGCCTATTTTGCACTGCCTGATCCAGCTGGTGAGAATGAAAGACGGAACTGTGTATGCACAGCTGGCCCAGCCTCATTCTCACTCTTATAAGGCTGCACATCCCCAGGGCATTCATGATTTCTGTTCATCTGTATGGTAAGGCCTTTAATTCGTTAGGGCAGTATTAGGAAGAGAAGATGGCCACAAACACAAGCCACATCATTCAATTTAAGTTACTCAGAGAAAAAAGAGAATGTGGTCTGACTCTCTCTGTTGGTTCTGAATTGAAAAGAAGACAAGAAGGGTGACGCTGGCATAGACTGCCTGGCACCCCAGTGAGGCTGCAGAAACCACGGTTTTCTGAACTATTCTTCTTCCTTCTAGTCTCTACAACAATCTCTGACCACAGGAACTGACTCTGGAAACATCATTTTGCTTAAGGTAACTGCTCTGGGGACAGGAAATGAGATTGCCATGGCTGACATCTAGTAGACTGAAAAACCAAGAATATTTGGGAATTTTCATTTCTTTGGAGTTCAAATTAATTGAGAATTCCATTTATTTAGATCATAACTAATGAAATAAGGAACAAGGATCTTTACTATCTCCCTAAGAATCTGATAGAGATGGCTTATACAAATATGGAATTTCTTTAATGTCAGTGACAGTTTATTTGGAGTATCCATATTCTATCACTTAGGCTCAACATATAATCTCTAGTAAGCTCTATTGTGCAATATAACTGGGTATAATTTATGATGGTAAAGAGAACAGGAAGTGTTTATTTTCATCTTAGGGTACAGAGGGGCCTTGGAGATAAAAAATCTGATGTATTATTCTTACATATTTCAGACCATCTAGGGGGCAAACAGTAAATTAGCCCCCAATATCACAGAAGAATACACAGCGGAGAAGTGGCTGGTATTAGCAGTAGTTTTTGAAGGACTCACTTTAGGCTATCTCTCCCTACCACTACCTCCCCCTCTCCTCCCCCCCAGAATGGCCACATCCCTCGTTGACCATAAATTGAAAGATAAAGCCCAAAAGGAAGAGAGAAAAGAACAAAGTATAGGGAGGGAGGTTAGTACCTCTGTTAGGTTCTTCTCTTTGACCAGGTCATTAAAGGTTGTGATTAATCACTGATGCTCATATCACGTCCCATTTTATCCTCCCCTTAATTTCATTCTCTCTCAGAGCTTCAATTACTACTGACACACAAAAGACTTAAAAAATATCCTATTATATGCTGTGACAGTGCTACATATCTCTTATCTGGAGTACTTATTACAGCTAAAATGCTACCTTTATTTGTATAAAATGTTTGTTTTTCCCACAACAGTACAAACTTCATGAAGGCAGGGCCCGTATCTTTTCTGATTATTGCTTTTTCCAGCAAGTTAGCACAGAGTGTCTAGGACATAAGTGGTCCTCAAAAATAAACTTGTTGAATGAAAAATTAAAAAAAAAAAAAATATATATATATATATATGGAAGAACACCATTCCCATGGCTTCGTGTTTTCAAATGGAGAAGACGCACTTCTATTAAACTCTCCTTCACTAGGACGTATCTGATTACTGAGATCAGGAAAGAGTAAGGTGCATGCTTGGCATAAATAACCCCTTTCAGGCTCGCTCGCTTGCTCACTCGCTCTCTCTCTCGAATTTGCCTACCAACCCATAGAAGGGGCTTTCTTGTCTGCTTTCATTCACATCATAAATAGTCTGTCCTCGGGGCGCCTGGGTGGCTCAGATGGTTAAGCGTCTGCCTTCGGCTCAGGTCATGATCCCAGGGTTCTGGGATCGAGTCCCACATCGGGCTCCCGGCTCGGCGGAGAGCCTGCTTCTCCCTCTGACCCTCTCCTCTCTCATGCTGTTTCTCTCTCGCTCAGTGTCTAAAAAATAAATAAAATCTTTAAAAAAATAAAAATAAAAATAAATAAATAAATAGTCTGTCCTCAATAGGAAGACCTGTAGTTGTTCAAAAATTATAACTGGGTGACTTCAAAACTACTTTGGGGTGAATTATTATGATGTTGCACATCTAAGCCTCACTAATAATGATATTTTTACCATCATAATTCCTATATTCACTCCTTACTTTGTTGCCTCTTCTGTATTTGTAAAGAGGTTTCATTTACAATGCTCATTAAAACATCACCAACACACATTCAAGGTACACATACTCTTATAAGCACACCTAAGTGACTGTTGAGTCTATCCTTGAACCCACCCAAGACAGAAAACTCTCTAACCCCTGAGCTACAACCCTTTTCTTCTAATTGCTTTTTGGAGCCAAACAAAACAAATCTATGCTATATTTCTTATAACAACTCTTTCAAAATTATTTGTAGAACTAGTTAAGTACTATGCCATTTATTCATTCAACTGAAATTTATTGTACAAATATTATGTGCCAGGCATTGTGGCTAGGAACTTAAGTGAAAATGTAAACAAAACAGATGCAATCTCTGCTTTTGTGTGCATACATTCTAGAGTAGAATATTAAAAAAGTAAAGAGATAACATTATTCTATTAAGAGTTATAAAGAAAGCAAACAAGGGAAAGAGACAATGAAAAAGAATGGGGGTGGGAACCTACATTACTTGGGAGAGGGGGCATCCAGAAAAGCCACTCTGAGGAAGTGACATTAAACTGAGACGTTAGGATCAGAAAGGGAGAAGAATATTCCAGGCAAAAGAAACAGCATACATATAGGACTCTAACTCAAGAGTGTGGGGCATTTCAGGAACTGAAAGAAAACTATATGGCTAGAATATAAAAGAGAATGGCATGAGATGAGGCTTAAGAGATAAAAAGAGTTAATAAGGCCATGCAGGACTTCAATGACCATAGTAAGTTTGGATTTTATTTAATGTTGCACCAAAACTCCTCTTCAAGTTAAATCCCTATACCCTTCTAATGCTTTTCATGATACCACTCTGATCCCTCTCATTACACTGGTCATCTTTTCTATGTAGTATAGTCTAGCACATTTAAAATGCAATGTTTAACACCAACCCTAGTTCTCCAAAGTAAAGACCAGTAAAGGGTAGAGAGGAACTACCAACTTCATCCTAAATACTATGCTTTAATCAGTGGTCTCAAATTGAACGAACTCTTTTCTGACAGTTACTTCACAACACTGACAGATACAGAACTTGCTATGATACTAAAACCCCCAAGCCTTTAACACCTGCTACTCAACAGCCAAAACTTTTGCTCTAATCATGCCCCTCCCGAAGTCTTCTTAAACCCCCACCCACACCCCCGGGAGGTAACCTATTCAAAGCTTCCCACTTCAAGATCCAAAACCCACATACTGCCAACGAGGCCTAACTTTCTTATGGATACTGATACTGATTTATGCCTAGTGCCAGCCAGAGATGGTCAACATGGTAGGAAGGAGAATTTCGTATCAGAAAACACAGCCAAAATTTTCCAACTTTTGGATCACTACTAGATTTATACAACCTAAATTCAGGTATTATGTTACTCTATTATAAAGTGACATTATTAACAAGGTTAACACTCATCCCTACAGTTCCCCAAGCTAAAATCTCAACTTCTCCCTTCTTCTCACCTCCACATACCCACCCAATCACAAAATCAAACCCTAAATATTTTTCTCCAATACTCTCTCTTTCCTGTCACTCTCCTAATTCATGCCACTATAATCTCATCTACTTGAATGGAACAAACAGCTAAAATGATTTACAAGATGCTCATGCTCTGGCGTTTACTCAGCGCTCTGGCCTCATCTTTAAATTTGGTACCCTCTGTCCCCCAGTATGCAGACCTGTGATATTCAACTACTCTGTTCTGTGATTACATCATGTTTTACATCCTTCCATCTAAAACATTTCTCCCTCAAATATGTCCTTCTCTTTCATGCTAATGTTCACTCATTTGTCAAGCTTAACACACATACTACTTCCTCCAGAAAGTCTTCCCTGAACCCTAACCAACCCCTAGTCTGAATGAGGGACCCTTCTTCCCTTCCTGGGATCTCTCAAAGCACCTTGTACTTCATTTTAGTTCTTGAGTTTTATTGCCATTTACTGGTTGGCATCCTTCACAAGACTATAAACTCTCAGATACCCAGGAATAGCCTGTTGTGTTCACTACTTAACTATCAAGCAACTAGCACAGTGCTCAGAACTTTGATACCCAAAATATATTTGTAGGGAGTGAAAGCAAGTAAGAGTATGTGTGTTCAAATGCACATAGGTGAATAAATATAAGACACCAGATTTTTGGAACGTGAGAAAGCCCTGTCTTCCACACCTATAATAATTTTATAAAGGCCTTAGATTTGCTGGATTTAAATATGCAACAGTACAAATAAAATTCTATCTTTAACAGACAATATGTAATAAAAGGTTAATTACATAAATATATAATCCATAAGTTATTGATGTATCATCATTCATTTAAATGTGTATAAAAAATATTGGACCACTCTTTTCTTTAGAACAGCAATAAGGTGATAAGTTGCAGATCCAAAGTACTAAAATGGCAAAATTTTATTCAATCATTCATCCAAAGCAGTCAATATCCCAGAAAGAACAAAGTTCCTTTTGTGCCCTCATCTGCACAGAGGTCACTAATGCCCAATGACAAGTAAAAACTGTTTGCCTTGGGACCAATACAATAATCCAGTTTCAATAAGTAGAAAATAATTTGATACTTACTCACACAATACCACATATTTTTCAAGAGAGTCAATCAGTAGTTTGCTATCTCCTTGATGAAAGTGCAGAGCAGGGAGAACGACGTCATCCTTTAGACAGAATACCAAATAGGACCAGCCCATACCCTCTCTGTTTTGCTTGATTGATTTCAGGTCTGTCAAACTGAACAGGAATGACCATTTGCTTTTCCCATTTCTATGACTTGGAGCATCTTAAAAACAAGAAAGTGGGGCAAAATATTTTTGTTCACCTTTTTAAAAGGTACTGATAGCGCTCTTCATGACTGCCTAACAGATACTTGTTGAACCTAGGGAATGACTATAGCATTCATATTACTATGGTTTCTACCTGTATTAGAAATGGCAACATACATTTTCTTAAAAGAATAGTTTTGAAAATAATCATCTTATTGCATACAGAGGGAAAAAATATTATCCCTATTTCAAATAAAAGCTTGCCCAAAAATGACTATGGCTTTGGAAGCAGGCAGGATGGATTCAAATTACAGCATCACCATCTTACTAAATGAATGATCTAGGGCAAATAACTGAATCTCTCTGAGCCTTGGTTTCTTCATCTGTAAAAATGGAGATAATTATACTTACCTCCCAATGTTATTCTAAGAATTAAAAGAGCTAATACTTGTCACCTAACTAGTATAGTGCCAATTATATAGCAAATACTCAAAAAATGTTATTCTTTTCCACTGCCCACTCCCCACCCCCGCCAAATACGAATGGCATGATGCTCTTGGAGAGTCATTAAAAGTAAAACAAAAAACCTTTACTTCCTCACTTCCTTTTGCAATTATTTTTACTAGACTACACTGAGTGAAGGTAAATAACACTGGTATAAAAAAATAACATTGGAGTAAATATACCAACAGACATTTTATTTACAAAAACCCAAAGAGCAGTGAGGAGTTGCGGATGAAAATATAACTTAAGTTGTGAGAGTGCTTCAAAGAGAATGAATACAGTGCTTGCTTGAGCAACACATACACAAAATTGGAACAATACAGAGATTAGCCTGGCTCCTGTGCAAGGGTGACACGCGCATTCGTGAAGAGGTCTGTGTTTTTTTAAGAACAGAATGAATACATTCAATCTTCCTACTAAATCCATCTACTAAAGTAAGACCTCAGTTCAACCCAAACTATAGTAACATAAAATAAAGTATTTTCTGAGGTTGTGGGCTATTTATGGAAGCTTAAAAATCCTAGGCTTGTGAACAATATCATACCTGATAACAAGCAGCATAAAAAACATATGAATAAAAATGTAAAGAACAAAGGGAAAAATATTACTTTCCCACTACTACTTATAATTTCTATCAAAAAATGCCATTTTGACCTGTTTTAACTTGGACATAAGCATGTCATGTCTGTGAAATTTTAAAAATCCATTTCTCTAATGTTATTTCCTAAGAAGTGTTGCACTATCCTGTTATTCAAGATCTTAGTTCCATTCCACACTATCAACTCCACAAACTAAACTGCATAGAAGATATGTGCTTATAGAACTTGATCAAAGAGTAGATCAGTGTTGACCTGCATATATGTCACCTTCCTATATAGTCAGGAACACCATAGCTCCATCAGCTCCAACAAGGATCTCCTAAATTGACACAAAGAAATCTACAGCTTACAGAACCTCTACCTACCAGGAATACAGGCACCATCACTATTTCATGGACACTTAAGTATCATTTGAAAGAAGTCCAGAAAGGCTAAAAAGTAATTTATCTCCACAGTGACCTGCCTAGGTTCCACACCAGTTCAGATGGTGAACTCATATCTAAGGCTGATACTAGATTAAGTGCCATGTGCCAACTTGACTACCATACATCATATTTCACTAGAATTTATATCATAGAGCTCATAACACCACTACAAGCTAATATCAAAATGAAAACAATTCTAGAATTTCAGTGTCTCCCTGAATCATTTACATGTTAATGTATTTAGGACTACTAGATTATTTGCAAAGACCAAAAATATTTTCAAAGCAACGAAAAACCAGATATACAGTTTTTAAAATTAAGTTCTTAAATTACATAGAAAGACTTAATCTAAATTAATGCATGAAAATCATATGGAGAATATAAATACATGCAAGCTATATGAATTTTCAGGAGTTTGTGCATATTCAAAAGTAAAATTTTTACACAGATTTTCCCATGTTAATGGAAGAAACACATCACATATGGAATAGAAAATGCCTTACACATTTCCTCACTTGAAGCTCTGATAAACAATGAAAGAAACATTACAAGTCAATTCTGGAAGCCCCTTTACTTGAATATAGTAAGCTTCATGAGAACAAGAACTTTATTTTGTTCATAATTATATCCCCAATGCCTAGAAGGGTAAATAACACATAGTAGGTACTCAAAGATGCATTGAATAAATGAATAACCTAGTACCAAGTCAACATAAAAGAAACCTGCGATTTAGTCTACTACCAATAGCTAACCAGAAATAGAAAGGGTTACACAGAGGAAACCTAATGAATCCAAGAGTTAACTCAGAATTTCCTTTTCTCTCTTGAAGAAAGGTAAATAAAACTAACTAGTTCTGGGATGCCTAGGTGGCTCAGTCGGTTGAGCATCTGCCTTTGGCTCAGGTTATAATCCCAAGGTCCTGGGATCAAGCCCCACATCAGGCTCCCTGCTTAGCAGGAAGTCTGCTTCTCCCTCATTCTCCCTCTGTGCCCACACGCTCTCTCACTCTCTCTCTCAAATAAATTAATAAAAATCTTTAAAAAAAAACAACACATTAGTTTTGATGAATGATGTTACCAAATACACGTAAGAAGTATCCCCAACACAATGACATGGGAAAACTAACCATAATAGCATAAGTGTAAAACTAAAACAGTTCAGTAAGTCCCTATATGTCTTGAATAGAATTAACACTGAGGACATGACATTTTATTTGGATGGGTGTACAGAACATGATGAGAGTCTGTTGTTCTGGTAAGAAACATTTTCAAAACATTTGATCTGCTATATAAAAACAAAGACTTCATAATAGAAACTCTTAAAAAGTATAAGGAAAGTTAAGTCTTTGATAGTCAATTTTTTAGGTTTTGTCCCAATTTCCTTTGTCGAACAAAAAAGTAAAAAGTAGGGGCGCCTGGGTGGCTCAGTCATTAAGCGTCTGCCTTCGGCTCAGGTCATGATCCCAGGGTCCTGGGATCGAGCCCCACATCAGGCTCCCTGCTCAGCGGAAAGCCTGCTTCTCCCTCTCCCACTGCCCCCTGGCTTGTGTTCCCTCTCTCACTCTCGCTCTGTCAAAAAAAAAAAAAAAAAGTAAAAGGTATAAAATGTGAAAACTATAAAATGAATAAAATTAGAAAAAAATACTTTTTAAACATATAAAAATGTTTCATAATGGCATAAATTTGAGTTTTGAAACATCAAGCTTAGAAAGTGTCCCCTTTAGGAAGAATTTTTGATGAAATATAATTGGATGAGACAGTCTAGGAGAAGGGATGGGATGGGATGCAATCGAATGCACTACACTTGGGCGCCTGGGTGGCTCAGTTGGTTAAGCGACTGCCTTTGGCTCAGGTCATGATCCTGGAGTTCCAGGATCGAGTCGCGCATCGGGCTCCCTGCTCGGCGAGAAGCCTGCTTCTCCCTCTGACCCTCTTCCCTCTCGTACCCTCTGTCTCTCATTCTCTCTCTCAAATAAATAAATAAAATCTTTAAAAAAAAAAAAAAGAATGCACTACACTTCATAACTCCTGTTCCGTCAAATATGTGTACGTGTATGCATATTGGGCCATACTATATTCAGTATTGTTTTCTACTGCTATACACATTCATAAAATTTTTTAAATACAGAGAAAAAAAGAAAATGTCTCCTTAACTTTCAATAATTGCTAAATAAAGGCTTTTTATAAGTCACAGTTCATGGCCAAGTCATATAAGCAGTATTTACATCTATGGTTTTTTGCTAAACTACACAGCTACACACAGGTTCTCAGTTCTGTACATTAAAATCAACAGGACAGCATTTAAAAAATACAAATGCCCAGTTTCCATCCCCAGAGTCTGATTTAATTCATTGGGATGAAACACAGGCATTAGTATTTTTTAAAAAGCCTAACCTAACCAGGTTATTTCAATGTGCAGCCAAAGTTGAAAACCACTAATCTAAAAAGACGTTTATTGTCAGATTATGCTCTTCTCATACACGTAATGCTTCTCTTTTATGAAATTCTGAAAACTCATTCCTTTGTTCTTTCCTATAGCCTGTCATTTTCATTTTCAAGGATTCAATGATATTAGGCAACAACAAACAAAAAAAAGCACAATTCACAAAACTTAATCCTGAAGATCTAATCTAGAGCAGTTAAAAACCACTTCACATGCCAAATACATTAAAACCCAGTGGTCTTACCTTAATACTTTGTATTATTCTGGTAAGAACCTTCCCTTTCAATAGAAAAAGAATCCCAAAAAGGAAAAACAAACAAACAAAAAACAACACATCAGCATGAGCTGATTTTAATTCACCAAAAGCTTATGAATTACTATTAACTTCTTAATTGCCACTGTTTCCAAGAAATGATACAGTACAAAATGTAACTACTGTATATGAGAATGATTCCCCAGGACATATATGAAAATCAGATTCACTGGGTAACAACGCTATATAAATGTAGCATTACATATTCCAGCCAATTGTGGCCAGCTTTTCTGAATCTGGGAAATGTGGATAAATCATAAACTCAGACTAAAATGAGTAAGACATTAAATGTCTTTTTAGTTATAAAACACAAATTAATCAATAAGGAAAAAACATTTTAACTCTGTACAAGTATTTATTATTTTTAAAAGAATCACAAATCGGGCGCCTGGGTGGCTCAGTTGGTTAAGCGACTGCCTTCAGCTCAGGTCATGATCCTGGAGTCCCTGGATCGAGTCCCGCATCGGGCTCCCTGCTCGGCAGGGAGTCTGCTTCGTCCTCTGACCCTATCCCCTCTCATGTGTTCTCTCTCTCTCTCATTCTCTCTCTCTCAAATAAATAAAATCTTTAAAAAAAAAAAAAAAAGAATCACAAATCATATTTGGTGTAGTATATGTGTTCTATCAGGCTGTTAGCTTGGCTCTTTTTTGTTATCTACATGTAGATAATCATCACACAGAAACACAGATTTAAATATATACATGTAGTATATAAAGGAGAACAGTCACTGAACATATATTGTAATGAGCTGTGAAGATCTCAGTAAGCACTGAAATTAGAACAGTATGGTTTAGTGGTATACTCCATCTCCCCCTAGTGCTTTAGGACGAAACAACATGCTGTTTTTGTTTTTTTTTTAATGCTAGAAAAATGTGCATGAGAGACATCTAAAGCAATTTTTTAAAGTGCTTCTATTTTCTGCCATGAATAACTACAAAACAGAACACGTATTTTTAAAACCTTGTTTTTTTATAAAGTCACAACCAACAAAACAAAAAGAGAGATGAAGAGGGACTATAACTAAAATATGAGTTCTATGTATTAAAGCACCAAATCATTCTTGCGACAGAGAAACACTAAAGAATTTCTTTGCACTTTTATTTTTATTATATTGTAGCAAATCAGTTTAAGATTTCAAAAGATTTAATTCATACCTCCATTGGTATGTGGCTTCTTTTTAGACGGAACTGTATTGACCATGTCCCACTCTGCTTCATAATTGTTCAGATGTTCCGATCCCCGATGACCTCTTTCCTTTGGGGCCTGCGTCCACTCTACAACTGAACTGGAGTCCTAAAAAAAGTATAACATATGAAATATTTAGGGACTAAAATTAGAATTTAATTTCAATTAACAATATATTCTCAACTTCTACATAAATTAAGTTTGGAGATTGTGACAGACATTACTGGTGGGAAAACCAACCACTATTTCCTATCCTTTTCTTTCTTGCCTATCTTTACCTGCCACCCACCCCATCCCCGCCCCCACTTCTCCACCCACCCCTCCATACCCCCCCTCCACAAAAGAAAGAAAAAAAGAAAAGCCTGCCCAGATTCCCTTGCAGTTAGTGTTGTCAATGAAATAAAAGCAGAGGTCAACTACAGGGCTTTTGGAAATGCTTTTGCTTTCCTAATAGAAAAGCCTCATCCCTTTTCCCCTTTCTCCTGCTTTGAATGTAGCTATGATGCCTAAAAATATGGCAGCCATGTTATGACTGTAAGAGAAAAAACAGGAGAATCACTCCAAACCTGTAGATTTGTAGTTATTTGAGGAAAATAACCAATGGTGGCTATTTTATTTAAGCCACCACTGGTTGCATATTTCTCAGTCAAAATTAGCTAAGAGCTACAAATAACGTATCTACATGTATAATTCTAAAGAACTTAAATATTTTAAAAGAGAATAAAACCGGGGCGCCTGGGTGGCTCAGTCGTTAAGCATCTGCCTTCAGCTCAGGTCATGATCTCAGGGTCCTGGGATCGAGCCCCGCATCGGGCTCCCTGCTCGGCGGGAAGCCCGCTTCTCCCTCTCCCACTTCCCCCTGCTTGTGTTCCCTCTATCGCTGTGTCTTTCTCTGTCAAATAAATAAATAAAACCTTAAAAAAAAATAAAAAATAAAAAATAAAAGAGAATAAAACCAAATGTCTAAAATTCCATATTAATAATTTAAATCAAAATATTTAATTCCTATACTATAAAAAGTAGCACACCTAAGTTAAAGATAAGCAAGACTGAGTGAAAGTGTTTTCAAAATATATGGCAGACAAAAGAAAAACATCCAGAATACAAAAACAACACCTACCAAATTATTTAGAAACTGGCAAATATCAAAACAGAAAAACAAGCAAATGGTATGCACAAGCAAGTCAAAGAAGAAATATGAAGCAACAAACACCTAGGAAGATGTCCAACTTCAGAAACAATCAAAGAAAAGTAAGTTAAGGGGCACCTGGGTGGCTTAGTTGGTTGTGTCTGACTCTTGGTTTCGGCTCAGATCAGGATCTCAGGATCCTGAGATCGAGCCCCACATTGGGCTCACACTCAGCATGGAGTCTGCTCAAGATTCTCTCTCTCCTTCTCCCTCTCCTTCCTCCTCTGCCAAACCCCCTGCACATGCATGCTCTCTTTCTCTCAAATAAAATCTTCAAAAAAAAAAAAAAAAAAAAAAAGGAGGCATGCCTGTGTGGCTCAGTTGGTTAAGCATCTGCCTTCGGCTCAGGTGGTGAACCCAGAGTCCTGGGATCGAGCCCCGCGACAGGCTCTCTGCTTCTCCTTTTCCCTCTGCCCCTCCCCCGCTCGTTCTCGCTCTCAAATAAAATCTTCAAAAAAAGAAAAAGAAGAAGAAAAGCAAGTTAAGATGAATTTCAATTTTTTGACCCATTCAAGTAAAAAATAAAATACGAAAGACAGCGTAAAGACCTAGTATCTCACACTGCTGATGACAGTGCTAATTACTACTGACTCCAAAAGGTCAATACAGCCATTATTTATTAAAATTCAAACTATGGGGGCGCCTGGGTGGCTCAGTCAGTTAAGCATCTGCCTTCAGCTCAGGTCATGATCCCGGAGTCCTGGGATCAAGCCTGCGTCGGGCTCCCTGCTCAGCGGGAAGCCTGCTTCTCCCTCTGCCTGCCACTCCCCCTGCTTGTGCTATCTCTCTCTCTCTCTCTGTCAAATAAATAAATAAAATCTTAAAAAAAAAATTCAAGCTATACATGTGTGTCATTACAATAACTCTCTTTATATCATCCACTCCAGAGAAATACTTACACATGTACACAAAGAGGCATATGTAAGAATTTTCATTGCAACACTGTAAAAATGAAAAACTGAAAATATCTTAATACCCATCAGTGAAGGAATGAATAAACAAACTAGGGGGTAGCCAAGGAAATACTAAGCCATAGTTTAAAAACTGATATATTTTAATATTTATTTACTCTTAAATAATAGTAAATTAAACAAAGAAGCTGCAAAACAATGTTTGCAGTATAACTACAGGCAGCATATGCAATTAGAAACAGAGAAAAAAACTAGGTCTAGATAGATCGATAATAAAATATGAACAGATTAAAGTCTGGAAAGATACACACTAGACAGGGACAGATGACAAGATTCTAGTCAAGCAAGACTTCAATTTCTATTGTTTCTATTATTTGAGTATTTTTACAAGAATGTATTCATATATTGCTACTGTAATTCTTTTTAAAAAGGGAAAAAGGAAAATTTGTAGGAACAGGAAGATATTATAAAGGCACAAGAAAAATTAAGAAATAGAAACAGACTGAAAAATAGAGAGGAAAACTGAATGAATGAAATCAATGAGGAGAGCTAAGCAGCATCTATAGAGCCCCACCAGCACAAAGGCTTGGAACTGGTTGATCAAGTACTTCTGGAAATTAGGATAGAGGTCAAGCTAAAAAGAAGAGTACTAACAAAAGTCCAGAAGGCTGAAGGGTTATTCATCAGAGAAAATAAAACAGATTATTTCTGGATTAGGAGAAACCAAGCACACTGAGCACAGGGATAACACATTGAAAACAAGAATTAATTAAAAGTTCATCTACAGGGGCGCCTGGGTGGCTCAGTCGGTTAAGCATCTGCCTTTGGTCGGGTCATGATCTCAGGGTCCTGGGACTGAGTCCCGCATCAGGCTCCTTGCTCAGCGGGGAGCCTGCTTCTCCCTCTGCCTGCAGCTCCCCCTGCTTGTGCTCTCTCTCTGACAAATAAATACATAAAATCTTTTAAAAATAAATAGATGATAGAAAGATAGATAGACAGATATTTTGAGAAGAAATGCAGAGAACTGAGCCTGAGTTTCAGGGTGAATTAGAGATAAAACAGAAATCTCTACCTTCCACAGTGAGTCAACACACGATACAAATGGCAAATACATAGTTATCATATAACCCAACAATCCCACTCTTAGGTTTTTAAGAGAAAAATATATATCCACACAGAAACTTGTGTATGAATGTTCATGTCAGCATTATTTATATTAACCTAAAAAATGAAAACAACACAAATATCCATCAACTAATGAATAAACAAAATGTGGTACAGTAGTTCCCCCACCCCTGACCCCATATCCACGGTTTCTCTCTTTCACAGTGTGTTACCCAAAGTCTGTTACCCGCAGTCAACAATGGTCCATCCAGAAACAGATGATCCACCTTCTGACAGTACGTACATACAATTAGTAGCCTAACACTACTTCACAATGCCTACGTCATTCACCTGCCTAATTTATAAATTAAGCTTTATCATAGGTATGTATAGGGAAAAACATAATATGTATAGGGTTCAATAGTATCTGTGTTTTCAGGCATCCATTGGGGGTCTTAGAATGTATCCCCCATGCATAAGGGGAGACTACTGTATTTCCATAAATGCAATGTTGTTCAGCAGGCAGGCAAGAAAGAAAGCAAGAGAGAGAGAGAGAAAGAGAAAGAGAAAGAAAGAAAAGAAAAAGGAGAAAGAAAAAGAAAAAGAACAAACAAACTGAGAGGTGTTACAACATGGATAAACCCTAAAAACAACAGGCTAAGAGAAAGAAGCCAGTCATGAAAGATTACATATTGTATGATTCCATTTATATGAAATGTCCACAATAGGCAAATTCTCAGAAATAAAAAGTGGTTGCAAGAGGCTGAAGTTAAGTGGGAATGAGGGGTGTACTACTAAAAGGCAGAGTTTCTCTTTTAGGAGTAATGAAAATGTTCTAAAATTAGATATTGGTGATGGTTACACAACTCAATATACTAACACCACTGAATTTATACACTTTAAAGGAGTAAATTTTATGGCATATGAATTATAGCTCAAAGAAGTTGTTTTAAAAATGGCATTCCTTGGGCGCCTGGGTGGCTCAGTTGGTTAAGCGACTGCCTTCGGCTCAGGTCATGATCCTGGAGTCCCGGGATCAAGTCCCGCGTCGGGCTCCCTGCTCGGCAGGGAGTCTGCTTCTCCCTCTGACCCTCCCCCCTCTCATGTGCTCTCTCTCATTCTCTCTCTCTCAAATAAATAAATAAAATCTTAAAAAAAAAAAAATGGCATTCCTTACAGTGGAATGAATAAATGAATAAATGAATGATGAATGAACAACAAAAACAAAAAAATAAAAATGGCATTCCTTTAGCCACACCCTTTCTTTCTTAAGTACCTTTCCAGCATAGAGAATACTAGAAGAATCTAAAGCATCATCCAATGGTCTCCAGTCCACTATTACTTCAGCATCCTAGAGAAAGAAATTATGGACTATATTTACTAGTCAGCAATATCTTACATTCTTAGTTACCTATTTTTAATTCCCTGAACGCAAAATGAAAATTTTAAACCCTTAAATATTAGCATTTTAAATATGCAATATCACAAGTAAACCACTATTTGACAATAAATGTTATGTACATTTTTAAATTCTGCTTATTTTTCATGACAAAAATTTGTAATACTGAAACTTTTACATAAGTTTTTAATATTCCATGCCATTTTACGGGCTTATCTAAAGTATTATTTTCCTGGGGTGCCTGGCTGGCTCAGTTAGTGGAGTATGGGACTCTTGGTATCAGGCTTGTAAGTTCGAGGCCCATACTGAGTGTAGAGATTACATATTTTTCAACATCATTTTCATATTAAATTTATAACCACTGTTCAATTACGTAATTTCACCTTACACATGAAATTCAAACTTACTGATAATGCCCCAAAGATAAACCACTGCCATAAACAATTATTAAATAAAATCACTTACTAAAAACATACCTTTTCTAACACACGTAATATTCCTGAAATCAAGCTGTCTTGGTCATTGGTCTTTCCACAAGATGAGTGAATATAGACCCCTTCCTGTTCATATATAATCTGGAACAACAAAAAAAGAATCACACCATTATTATTCAGTAAGATTTCGACATTTGTTAAAAAAAATTATGGGAGCGCCTGGGTGGCTCAGTTGGTTAAGCGACTGCCTTGGGCTCAGGTCATGATCCTGGAGTCCCTGGATCGAGTCTCGCATCGGGCTCCCTGCTCGGCAGGGAGCCTGCTTCTCCCTCTGACCCTCCCCCCTCTCATGTACTCTCTCTCTCTCATTCTATCTCAAATAAATAAAATCTTTAAAAAAAAAAAATTATGTATTTTCATATAATGCCTGAACCACATTTCTGACTATTTCATATATAAACGTATTATTTTAAAAATACCACTCAGGCTTAAGAGCACTTCAAATTAAGATAAACTGGAAGGTAGTCTGCTCTATGGAAGTTTGCTGGTTTAGTGATAATCACAATCTTGATCTTCTCCATAAACAAAGATGTCACAGTAATTGCTAATGTGTCTCAAGTGAATTCCACTTAAAATACATTTTTAACAAACGTTAAGCAAAATATTGGATTCAAACTGAGAAAGGCCATGAAAACATTCAAGAATAAGAACAGATGAAATACAGTACATGTTTTACTGTAAGATCATTTCAGTGTGTTTTTGTAGCACAGTGGCATAGAAATTCAGGGAGTAACATGGGAATTTTAAGGAGTAATGATGAGGACTTCTAGGAACGATTAAAGTAGTTCATGCACACAAATATTTACTGAGTGCTTCTATATGTAAAAGCATGCAAAAGACTATAGTTATGTAGATATGATTAAGACATGGTCCTGAACAATATCCTGTGGGAATATAAGGGAGACTGAAGCTAATTCCTGAGTAAACTGAACCATGTAAAGTTAAGTCTTGTCTTCTATTAGCAGAATATTATAAATTTAAGATTCCATTCCTGGGACCCATTTCCCAAACAATTACATTTTTTTTCATTATGAAAATAAGAGAAATAAAATAATCACTTTGAGACCTAAGTACTTTTCACATACAGAAGTTTGGAATAGAGTGTAAGTTTCTATTTATGTAGACCTCTTTTTTTTTTTTTAACTCCAGTATAATTAACATAGTTATATCAGTTTTAGGTGTACAACATAGTGATTCAACAATTCTATACATTACTCCGTGCTCATCATAAGTGTACTTTTTTCTTTTTTAATTTAAATTCAATTAATTAACATATGATGTATTATTTGTTTCAGGGGTACAGGTCTGTGATTCATCAGTCTTACATAATACCCAGTGCTCACTACAACACATACCCTCTCTTAACCGTCTTCCCGTGTTTCACCCATCCCCCACCATCGGCTCTCTGGTACCCACCAGTTTGTTCTCTATATTTAAGAGCCTTGTTTTTTGTCTCTTTTTCTTTGTTCATTTGTTTTGTTTCTTAAATTCCACATATAAGTGATATCATATGGTGTCTTTCTCTAACTGGCTTATTTCACTTAGCATTACACCCTCTAGATCCATCCATGTTGTTGCAAATGCCAAAACTTCATCTTTTTATAGCTGAGTAATATTGCATTGTGTGTGTGGGAGGGTGTATATATCACATCTTTTTTTTTTTTTAAGATTTTTTTATTTATTTGACAGAGAGAGATAGAGAGCACAAGCAGGGGGAGCAGCAGAGGGAGAGGGAGAAGCAGGCTCTCCGCTGAGCAGGGAGCCCAACGCGTGGCTCGATCCCAGGACCCTAGGATCATGACCTGAGCCGAAGGCAGACACTTAACCACTGAGCCACCCTGGTGCCCCCACAACTTCTTTACCCATTCATCTATCAATGGATACTTGGGATGCTTCCATATTTTGGCTATTGTAAATAATGCTGCTATAAACATAGGGATGCATGTATCCCTTTGAATTAGTGTTTTCATATTCTTTGGGTAAATACCCAGTAGTGGAATTACTGAATCTTATGGTAATTCTATTAATGTTTTGAGGAATCTCCATACTGTTTTCTACAGTGGCTGCACCAGTGTGCACTCCCACCAACAGTGCACAAGGGATTCCTTTTTCTCCATATCCTCGCCAACACTTGTTGTTTCTTGTGTTGTTGATTTTAGCCATTCTGACAGGCGTGAGATAGTATCTCATTGTGATTTTGATTTGCATTTCCCTGATACATGATGATGAGCATCTTTTCATGTGTCTCCTGGCCATGTGTATGTCTTCTTTGGAGAAATGTCTATTTGTGTCTTCTGCCCATTTAATTGGATTATTTGGTTTCTTTGGTGTTGAGCTGCATAAGTTCTTTATTTATTTTGGATACTAAGCCTTTATCAGATATGTCATTTGCAAATATCTTCTCCCATTCCATAGGCTGGCTTTAAGTTTTACTGATTGTTCCCTTTGCTGTGCAGAAGCTTTTTATCTTGAGGTAGTCCCAACAGTTTATTTTTGCTTTTGTTTTCCTTGCCTGAGGAGACATATCTAGAAAAATGTTTTTACAAATGATGTCTAAGAAATTACTACTATGCTTTCTTCTAGGATTTATATGGTTTCAGGTCTCATATTTAGATCTTTAAACCATTTTGGTTTTATTTTTGTGTAGATTATAAGAAAATGTGTCCAGTTTCATTCTTTTACATGTAGCTGTTCAGTTTTCCCAACACCACCTGTTGAAGACACTGCCTTTTTCCCAATGCATATTCTTGCCTCCTCTGGTGAAGCTTAATTGACATGGGTTTATTTCTGGGCTTTCTGTTCTGTTCCACCCATCTGTGTGTCTATTTTTGTGCTAGTGCCATACTGTTTTGATTACAACAGCTTTGCAGTATATCTTGAAATCTGAGACTGTGATATCTCCAATTTTGTTCTTTTTCAAGACTTCTTTGGCTAATCGGGGTCTTTTGCAATTCCATACAAATTTTAGGATTATTTATTTTAGTTCTATGAAAAATGCTGTTGGTATTTTGATAGGAATTGCATTAAATCTGTAGACTGCTTTGAGTAGTATGGACATTTTATATTTACCATCTCACTATTCAGAATACCATGGGGACCAGCATGCAAGACAAGCACCTTCACAACCCATCACCATCACACCCTAGTTATGAATGTAAATGGGTATGCATCTTCCTGTTTTTAACTAACATTTATGGAATACTTATGCACCAGGAACTCCACATGTTATAGCTTAATCCCCCTAACCCTAGACCACAGGCTCTATAACTGTATCCTACTACATCATTAGAATGGAAAGCCCATTTGTGTTAATGAGAAAACTGAAAAAGATATTAAATAACTTGCCTAAGATCGTTGATGCAAATGGTAAGGGATGGTTAAGGAGCAGTGTGGAGATTAAAATCCAGGCAGTCGGATCCCAGAGAACTGTGCTCTTAGCTACTGTGTTATAAAGTACATTACTTTTACTGTTATTCCCATGTTACATTAGTCACTTGTGATATGAAGTTATATGTCAGGAAAAGAGTCCTTCTAGTAATCAAGATCACCAGAGAAATTCTGATCTCAAAAACCCAAGATGGCCTTCACTGAAATAGTGGTTAAGCACCGGACCAGCATTAAGCAGAAGGCAAAGACTGGGGACAGCATGAGTTGGGGAGCAGTAGAAGACAATTCTATACTGTTTCCATAAAGATAAAAACTTTTAAAGTACACAGATTTATTCACACATATGCATAAAGATATGCTTAAAACTATTCACAGCACTATTATTTATAACATCAGGTGGGGTGAGGGAGGGAGAAAAAAAGGAAAGGGAAGTTATGAATCTAGATACCCACACAGGGGAAATGATCAAATACCTCCTGGGATAGTCATTCTATGGGGAATACTATTCAGGAATTAAGAAAGGATATGATAGATTAAATGAACAAACAAACATGGAAAAAACTGCCAATTATATATAGCATGATGACATTTATGTATTTTTAAAAGCTTCTCTAAATTGCTGTAAAATACCCAGAACAAGTTCTGGAAGGACACACTTTAAGCTGTTAACAGAGATTACTTGTGAAAGAGAATGGGATATGGAAAGGCTGAAAGAAAACTGTAACAGTCTATGTTAATGCCTCTAACATACTTGAATATTTCAAAGCTAAAATACAGTTACACATTGCTTAGTAATAAAAAATAATTTTAATAAGTAAATAAGGAAATTGCAGAAGTATAAACTATAACCTTTCCAGACTTCAATTTATCAATTTTCAAAACAAGAGGTTAAACTAGATAATTATATCTGGGGCCACAATATGCAGTTAAGGGAAAGAAATCCATTAAAATCTCAAGCTTTAGTGAGAAATAGATTAGAGACATGTCTGGAAACTACATGTTAGCATACTTTCTCCTAAGTCTCAGCTAAAACAATAATCAAGAGCTTCATAGTTCTCCCGTCGCCTGGGTGGCTCTCTTGGTTAAGCCTCCGATTCTTGGTTTCAGCTCAGATCATGATCTCATGGATCAAGGGATCAAGCCCCACATCAGGCTTCCTGCTCAGTAGGGAGTCTGCTTGAAATTCTCTCCCTCTGCCCGCCCCCCCGAAAAGAGCTTCATAGTTCTCATAGTAGAAAAAAGGACACTCATTTTGCCCAGAAAAGTTTGGTATCATTAACAATGCAATCTAAAATTCTGTGATACTATTAACACTAAACAGACTCTGGAACCTTAATAAAGTAAGTAAATGCTAAAGAACCAAATAAAACACTTTACCTAACTGAAGCACATAAGAAGAGTTCCTTACTCTTTCTTTCCCATGCATATATTGGTCAAGTGTTGCCTATTCTCTTTTTCATTTAAGAAAAAGTTGAGATTCCTAAGTAATTTCACTGAGAAAATATTTAAAAAGCATTAAAGTACCAGGAACCTTACAAAAAAAATCCAAGCTGCACTCATTCTGGGTTCTGTCCTGAACTCTTTAGCACTTTCTGAGGAACAAATTACACGTCCAAAAATCCACAACTCCAAACCCAGACTTGTACTGTCTTTAGAAAGCAGTCATATTCAGCTTTCTAATTTGAAGGGTGTGA